TTAATGTGTCATTGCACATCAGTGACAAGCATTTTTTTTTTTTTTTTTTTTTTTTTTTTTGCCTTTCACTTTCCTCCAAAACCATTTTTCTCAACTTCATCATGAAACAAATGTCGTGTGCTCAGTCTGTGATGGGGCTCTGGCCTAGGTTAGGTGACAATTTCTGAAAGCTCAGAGAGGTGAGGTGAAGGAAAAAGGACATTGATGCTTGGATCTTATAAGCCTCACATGCAACAATAAACCCAATTCTTAGATATTCAAATTCTTAGAGAGATTGGTTTGGTTGCAAAAAAAAAAAAAAAAAAAAAAAACACGTCAAATTGGCTTCAGCAAAAAAAGAGAATTTATTTTTATTGTTTCAAATAACTGAAAAGTGTATGGGCAATAGTTTCAGGCATGGCTGAGTCCAAATGCTCAAACAACTTTGCCAGGAATCCATCTACCTTCATTTCTCAGCTTTGCCTTCCTTTCTGTGGGTCTCATTGCCAGGCAAGTCCTGGAGCTGGTGGCAAAGACGGCTGCCTGCAGCTCCAACTATATTCCCACTGGCTTGGCATCTGAAACAGAAAGAGCAAGGCTCCTTTCCATGAGTTCTAGCAACTGCCCTTAGATTGATTCTCATGGGCATGGCTTTTATGATGAGCCTGTGTTAGGAAAACGGCATGCTCTCATAGGACCAGCCTTGTTCATAGGCCCCACGCTGAAACCAGGAGTTGAGATCAGACCCAAACACACACAGACTTTTTAAGAAAGGAAGGGGGTTGGTTGCACAACAGCGTAAGTGTATTTACTACTATTGAATTGTACTCTTAAAAGTGGTTAAGATGATCACTTTCAGCCAGGCACAGTAGCTCACGCATATAATCCCAGCACTTTGGGATGCTGAGGCAGGCAGATCACCTGAGGCCAGGAGTTCAAGACCAGCCTGGCCAACATGGTGAGACCCTGCCTCTACTAAAAATACAAAAATTAGCTGGGCATGGTGGTGTGCACCTGTAATCCCAGCAACTCAGGAGGCTGAAGCAGGAGAATCACTTGAACCCTGGGGGCTGAGGCTGCAGTGAGCCAAGATTGCACCATTGTACTCCCGGGCAACAGAGCGAGACTCCATCTCAAAAAAAAAAAAAAAGATGATCGCTTTCATGTTTTATGTATTTTACTACAACTGAACATTTTCTAAAGAAAAATAAAGAAAGGGGTGGTTTCCTCAAAGGGGAATTGAGGAGTTGTTACCAGAAGAAGAAATGAATGTGAGTAGGTGAAATCAACCAATTTCCAGAACAAATAGAGTCAGGCGCTGAGACCAAACACATGTGTCTTTTCTCGCTTTAATGCCGGAGGGATTTCAGACTTAACAGAGTGAAGAAAGAAGGAAGTGGAACCCGGTCATGGTCCTCACCCATGAGGTGGGCGTGAGGAGCAGGCTGGTACTGGATGGGTTCAATTCGGCCACAAAGCCTGGTGAGGTCACAGGGACTCTCTTCTTCCAGTCCCAACCCAAAAGGTTGCCTAAGTCAGGTGCTGTGCCATGTGTACCAAGAAACTTTCTGCTGCCACCTCTAAGAAAGAGAAGGATCAGGAGGAAAGAGAAGGATCAGGAGTTAGCACCGAAGGCTCCATCTTTTCACCTGTCTGTTCTCAAGCAGGACCTTAGTGTCTGAGGCAGCTCTGCACCCACAGTCCCTGGCAGGGGCTCACCCTGGGGTACATATCATGTTCTCCTAAGCTCATGTCACTCCATTTCAGATGTCAACTGGACACGGACTCCTGCCGATCCTCCCTACTGTCATTCACTCCTCTCCTGGTACAGTCTTGATCTCATGAGGTCTCTTCTGCCCTTCCAGTGTCTTCCCTCTGTGGTTCCACCAGGCACCAAGGCTGAGCCCTTTCCCTCGGCCTGCAAGGTCAGTGGGGACCCTGAAGTCCAGGGTCCTGCCTGGCCCTGGACCACCTCCTTCAACTTCAGCAAGTTAGTGGTCTCCCTGTCACCATGCAGCCTGGCACCCTGAGACCTCCTCATGGGCCTCCCTCAATGGCCTTTCTCTTGTTCTAGGATATTGGACCCTTCCTTAGCTCCTGATGCTTCCATTTGGCTTCTCATCTTTTTCCACATACTGTTTTCTTCTAGGCTCTCTGGCTCCATTTTGTTTTGTTTTTTGTTTTGTTTTGAGATGGCGTCTCGCTCTGTCACCTAGGCTGGAGTGCAGTAGTGCAATCTCGGCTCACTGCAATCTCCGCCCCTCAGGTTCAAGCAATTCTCCTGCCTCAGCCTCCCGAGTAGCTGGGATTACTGGTGCATACCACCATGCCTGGCTAATTTTTTGTATTATTTTTTTTTTTTTAGTAGAGACAGGTTTCGCTGTGCTGGTTAGGCTGGTCTTGAACTCCTGACCTCGTCATGATCCGCCCACCTTGGTCTCCCAAAGTGCTGGGATTACAGGCGTGAGCCACCGTGCCCGGCCGTCTCTGGCTCCTTTTGAAGGCCTCTGACAGCCCCTATCTTATTTCGTCTCCACAGAAGGCCATGGTGCCATGACATACTCAGGGGCGCTGTTCAGAATATCAGGCACCACGTGGCATGGGCACTGACCGTCAGCATAGACACTGTCATCAACACCGGGGCCCTGAGGGACTCTGCTGGATCAGCTGTCACCTTCTTGGTTCTTGGATCATGATGGGGGCCCTGGGAGTTCCAAGAGGGGGTCCAGGCAGCTGGAGTGGGGGCTCATGGGATGGCTGTTTACCAACAAATACATACCTGCACCTCCAGTGAACATTCACTTGACACACTCTTTCCAGGAAGATGCACGTTTAGCACCTCCTGCCTGGGCCTAAGCTCAGTTCTAGTTTTGGCTTCACTAAATACAAGTTATGTGATTTGAGCAATTCACTTTGGCTTTTATTTTTGAGATGGAGTCTCACTTCTTTGCCCAGGCTGGAGTACAATGGCACGATCTCGACTCACTGCAGCCTCCATCTGCTGGGTTCAAGCATTTCTCCACCTCAGCCTCCCAAGTAGCTGGGATTACAGGCATGTGCCAGCACACCCAGCTAATTTTTGTATTTTTAGTAGAGATAGGGTTTCACTGTGCTGGCTAGGCTGGTCTGGAACTCCTGACCTCGCCATGATCCACCCACCTTGGCCTCCCAAAGTGCTGGGATTACAGGCGTGAGCCACCGTGCCCGGCCCACTTTGGCTTTTTTGAGTCTTGGATTTCTTATCTGTAAAATGGAAATAGTAAGCAGGGAATCACACAGATGTGTATACACTGGATTTATTCACATTAGTCAAAATATCTATCTAAATGTCTATCAATAGATGAATATAGTGTATGTATATATATACACACACATAAATATATACAATGGAATGTTATTCCACTTTACAAAGGAATGAAATTCTGATACATGCTATTATATGGATAAGCCTTGAAAACATTAGTTAAGTAAAACAAGCTAAAAGGACAAATACTGCATGATTCTACTTATATGAGTACTTGGAACAGGCAAATTCATAGAGAAAGAAAGAATAGTGGTTACCAGAGGGGGGAAGTGGGAAGTTATTCTTTGATAGATAGAGTTTTAGTTTGGGTTTATGGAAAAGTTAGTTGCACAACAATGTGACTCAACTTGATGTCATTGAATTGCACATTTAAAATAGGTTAAGATGGCAAATTTTATGTATATTTTATCGCAATAAAAAATGAACACCGGGTGCAGTGGCTCACACCTGTAATCCCAGCACTTTGGGAGGCTGAGGCAGGTGGATCACCTGAGGTCAGGAGTTTGAGACCAGCCTGGCCAACATAGTGAAATCCCATCTCTACTAAAAATACAAAAATTAGCCAGGTGTGGTGGTGCATTCCTGTAATCCCAGCTACTTGGGAGGCTGAGTCAGGAGAATCACTTGAACCCAGGGGGCAGAGTTTACAGTGAGCTGAGTTCGAGCCACTGCACTCCAGCCTGGACAACAGAGTGAGACTCTGTCTCCAAAAAAAAAAAAGAAAATACAATGCCTACTACATGGAATTATTGCAAATATTACATGAGATCATTTGTCTATAAGAAGCCTTTGCAACCTCAAGTGCTATTATTGTTACTGGCCAATAGCATTAAGTTATAATTCAATTATCTTGGCTTTATCCAAGAATTTCCTAAACATTATTTTTGTATTTTAGGAAGGGAATTTATAAAACTCACATTATTCCTATTCTTTTGTGAATTCAAGTAAGTTCTAGAGAAAGAAAAATCAGCTAAGAACAGCTTGCCAGTATTATTTGAGGGAATATGGAAAGGACAAAATAATCTCCTTTACAATCTGGAAATGACACCATGAAAACGGTATTATTTTTCATCATCACACATATAAACACCTATTGAAGAGCAGTGCATTAAGGCGGATAGAAGTCATTCACTCTTGACTGTGAGCTGCTTTCCGTCTGACTTCAGCGGAGCACACTAAGGCAGAGTCTATCACATCTTTTTTTTCTTTGCTGCTATTGCAGACAATTTCTTTAACAACATATAAACATTATTTCCCCAAATAAAATGTCAAACTTTGTAATCTCAGGATGCTCTTCAATTAAATTGACCCAGAATATTGACAAAGTAGAAACTTTTTTAAAAAGTTAAATCACAGGCTGGGCGAAGTGGCTCCTGCCTGTAATCCCAGCGCTTTGGGAGGCCAAGGTGGGTGGATCACTTGAGGTCAAGAGTTCAAGACCAGCCTGGCCAACATGGTGAAGCCCTGACTCTACTAAAAATACATAAATCAGCTGGACGTGATGGTGTAATCTCAGCTACTTGGGAAGCTAAGGCAGGATAATCTCAGCTACTTGGGAGGCTGAGAAAGGAGAATCGCTTGAACCCCAGAGGTGGAGATTGTAGTGCCACTGCACTGCAGCCTGGGTCACAGAGTGAGACTCTGTCTCAAAAAAAAAAAAAAAAAAAAAGTTAAATCACTCGATATGCATTCTGAAATATTTAGGGGAAAGTACATCAATTACTGCAATGTACTTTGAAATGCACCATGAGGCCAGGCGCAGTGGCTCACGTCTATAATCCCAGCAATTTGGGAGGCCAAGGAGGGTGGATCACCTGAGGTCAGGAGTGCGAGACCAGTCTGTCCAACATGGTGAAACCCTGTCTCTACTAAAAATACAAAAATTAGCCAGGCCTGGTGGTGTGCACCTGTGATCCCAGCTACTTGGGAGGCTAAGGCAGGAGAATCGCTTGAACATGGGAGGCAGAGGTCGCAGTGAGCCAAGATCGTACCACTGCACTCCAGCCTGGGTGAC